GCGGTAAGGGGAGAAGGGGAGGTTTGAAGGGGAGAATGGGAGGCGGTAATGGGAGATCGGGAGGCCGTAAATTGGGAGAGGGCAGCGGATTGAAGATATTGGGAGGCGCACGAGGGCCCGCAGTGTGTGGCGCGGCCCGCGTGATCGCGATGGCGTGAGGAGGTAGCGTGGGGCGGCGAGGCGCCGCTGCGAGCGGATTTGCGGCGCGACGCCGCGACGGGCTTTGAGGCGAGCCTACGAGGTAGCAAGTTGCGGTGGGGCGAGGACGCTACTAGGGGCTCGATGCAAAGACGATTTGCGGCGGTTGGATTACGCAACAGAGATCGACTCTAGGCTGCGTGGGGAGGCAACGAGATTTCTACGTACAGTGCGGTGAAGCTATACGGCGACGCAGCGGCGACGGATAAATGAATGCGTATTCGGCTAACGCTGGCGCCGGCGCAACCTTCGGTCTATGACGTAATCCTAAGCTCTGAATTTCAACGGTGTGGGTAGGACTGTTCTAGTAGCGCACGCTAAGAACGCTACGTGAGTGAGCTCCCGCGGGGGAAACAAATTAGTATACTTTTGCCATCGATAAACTTTTGACAGTCGAGTGAGCTGGGTGGAGTTGGGGGCCCCTCGTTTCTCGAGAGAGAGGTTGGGTGGGCTTGTAATTCGGTAACCACCATGTACATTTTATAAACTTTTGGCACTCGCCCTGCCAAATGTATACCGCTGTTTTAACACCGAATGGTAAGGTTCTCGGATCGAATACCTTGGCTGTCGTGTTCCGTAAGGCTACTCTCTTATACAAATGCACAATGTGATTGAAAATTCAGGCGTTCACTTTTAGGAACCCTAAAAATTCAGGCTTTTTTTTAGGAACCCTGAAAATTCAGGATTTATTTCACAGGGACCCTGATGCATCAACGCCCCTAAAAGTGAATCTGAGTGCCTGGTTATGGGCGCAATGAATCCAAGTAGCTAAGACGTCACTAAGGTGTCATACTAAGTATGAGCGAAGGCATGAGATAATACTTATAACCTAAATATAAAATAATGAACCCCGTCCCAACTTGAAAGGGTGTCCAGAGTTCGGGCTGATAGAGCACTGTTCCAAACAATCCGAGCTGCACTGTGAAAAAATGTGATTGGCTCTTCCCAATTTGATTCTTCTTGTTCCCGCCAAAACACTTTTATCACGCGGATCTCCTCCGTCGCAAAGGTTCGTGTTGCACCTGCACGACTCTTGCCTGGCGATGGTTTCCATCGCCAGTCCTAAGTTGCTTTCAAGTTGGAACTGGGTTTCATGACTAGCTGCTCTCCATCCCAAAGTCTCTAGTCATATTCCTAGCATTTTTTAGCAGAGAACCTAGGTATTTGTGGCCAATGTAAGTAACTATCGACCCTGCAGGTAGGCGTAAGACTGTTTCGTAGCTTACTATCGTAATTTTATTCCATTCCGCAGGCGATCGACCTCTCTCGCTCACCCCCCGCCGTGAAACTCTCCGCGTCACCTTCGCCCTGCGTTTCTCTCTCGTCCTATGGCCCCTCATTGCCGTGTCGCCCTCGCTAAGTCGCCCTCCCGTCGCTCATCCTCTCGTCTCCTACCATTACCCACCTCGTCGCCATCACGCTCGCCTCGAGTAGCTCTCCCGTCGACCTTCCTCTCGCCCTTCGCATCACCCGTCTCGTAACCCTCTAGCTTGCGCTAAATCGTCATGCCTCACTCTCGTCCGATCGCCCTCACGACCCTCCCTCCCATCCCTTCGCCCTCGCTATCTCCCGTCCCATTCCTTCGCGGTCGCTATATTCCCCCCCTTCAGTCCCATCACCCTCGCATCTGCCCTCCCGTCCCGTCGCCCTCGGTATCTCCCATCCTCACCCGCTGCCCTCGCGGCTATTTCCACCCCTCCCGCAGCTATTTCCACCCCTCCCGCAGCAATTTCCACCCCTCCCCGCAGCTATTTCCTTCTGTCGCGCTACTATATCATCACCTCGCGTTATTCAATTCCGTCGCCTACGCAATCGCGACTCCCGATTCGTCGAAGATGCAATTTCCGTCCTCCCGTGCTGGAGTCTCGTCGCCCTCCTGCCGCTCTCCCGTTGCCTATCTTGTCGTTCTCAAAAAACCGTTCGTCCTTCGTTCGTCGCCCTGCCGTCGCTTGTCACGACGCCCTGCCTTTTCCCGCACCGTCGCCTCCCGTCGTCCGCTGTGAGGGCCTCCCGTCGCCCTCCCGTCGTCCATCCCGTCGCCCTGTCGTCGCGCTCACGATCTCCCCTCCCATCTCCCTCGCGCTCATGATCTCCCCTCACATCTACCTCGCGCTCACGATCTCCCCTCCCATCTCCCTCGCGCTCACGATCTCCCCTCCCATCTCCCTCGCGCTCACGATTTCCCCTCCCATCACCATCGCGCTCACGGTTTCCCCTCCCATCGCCCTCGCGCTCGCCATCTCCCCTCCCATCTCTCGTATGCGCTCGCCATCTCCCCTCCCATCTCCCATGCCGTATCCCTCACTATCTCCCTTTGCTGCCCGTCGCCCTGGCTATTCCTAGCGAGGTCCGCCGTCGCCTCGCTAATTCGTCTGTCCCGTCGCCTGAGCTGTCACCGATCCCCCATTCCTTCACATCACCTTGATTTCTTTCGTTTACCCCCTCGTAATGTTTTTTCCTCTCAAGTCCATGTTATTGAACCTCTCCCAGTCGCAGGCACCAAGTCCAAGGCTGCACTTTTCTCACAGCTCTTACATTCAAGCACTTCCACTCTCATCTCGAACACGGGTGTGCCTGAGATTGTGAATTGAGTTGTTGATAGACGTGAATTTGTTGAAGTCACAAGTCTAATGCATGTGGCATTGCATTGAACGTCGCTCAACTTTGCGCCAAATTCGCACATCTGTTTGGCTGCCAATCAGAATTGAGAAAGATTGTTCCCGATTCACTCCGAAACTTGTCTGGAGGTGGAAAAAAAGCAGAGACAGAGCACTTCAACTTTTCAAAACAAGAAGGGGCTTGAGAGTCTTCAAGCTGGACCCAACTAGAAGGGGGGGGGGTCACTATTTTAGCTGCTGGCTTTATACGATAAATATGCAAACGGTAATGCGGTGCGTGCAAGCTAGCTAGTGCTACGCTGGCGTGAGGTTCTGGCTAGTCCAGAAGCGTAAGCCGACTCGGTTGCTCCAGCAGTGCGAGGTTTGGTGAAACAGTGCGTGCAAAATTGGCGAAGCCCCATTAGCAGTAGCGGGAGAACAACGGCTGCTGCTGTACGCAATGTTGACGGTCGCGGTAAGGAATGTCGAGAAAACTCAGTTTGGAATGGATCAACTATTTGTTGAATGTGTACAGTGAAGGATTACCCCTCCATACCGATGAGACCATTAGGGTTCGACGCCAGCTAGGCTCTTTCCAGTCAAGCAACTTGCTCCCCCCTCAAGGGGTGTCATTTAGAGAGTACGTACGGAACCATACCCAATCGCTTTAAAAATAAAACGAACCGTTTTTTTCTCGCTCTTGTATCCATTGAAACCAGTGGATGGTGCACGGTTGCTGTGTTGTTCCCTCCTACCACCGCGCTGCAGTTGGACGTTCTCGGCCAATTTGCAGTGCTGAAATGTTTAGAAGACCTTATGTCGTAGGTAGTTCCGAGGATGAAGACGTAGGTGGTTCCGCGCCTTCAAGTTTTCCTTTGAGACAATAGCAAACCTGTTTTTAGTGCTGTTTTTTTTTTCTTCTCAGAAGCATGAAGATGTGTCCTCGTCCTCGCGCTTCCTCTAAGAAAGCTGGAAAAGTGTTCGATTAAGTGTCGCCTTTCAGTTCCGCAATAGTAGTTACGCTACTTCGGACAGTGGCTATTAGTAGCCCGGGTCTTCAATTTCTTTCCCATGCCTACGCACCTCTTTCCTGGCGACACCGGCCAGTCGCCGTTGCAGCTACCGCTGCAGCTGCGGCATCAACTCCACCAGCACCAACAGCATCATCAACATCAGCAGCAGCAGCATCAGCATCAGCATCAGCAGCAGCAACATCAGCTGCTGCAGTTTCACCTGAATCAGCAGCAACAGCAGCAGCAGCAGCAGCAGCCCCACCATCAGCATTCACACCAATTTCAGCCTCTGCAATCGCCGCAGCTGCTACATCACCAGCAGCAAACGCAGTCGCAGCAACAACAGCAACAGCAGCAATTGCAGTTGCAGCTGCAGCAGCAACAGCAGCAGCAACAGCAGCAGCAACAACAGCAACAGCAGCATCAGCAACAGCAACAGCAACAGCAGCAGCAGCAGCAGCAGCAGCAGCAGCAGCAGCAGCAGCAGCAGCAGCAACAGCAGCAGCAACAGCATCAGCAGCAACAGCAACAGCAGCAGCAGCATCACCAACAACAAGAGGTCTCCCCGCTTCCCGCTGCGCTGCAGCTTCTTCGAGCAGAGCTCATACTCGTTACAGCGCAGCGCGACGCTGCGCGCGCGGAGCGCGATGCCGCCGTCGCGCGACTACACATAGTCGAAGCGGAACGCGACGCCGCGGTCGGGGAGCGGGCGACGGCGGCGGCGACGCGCGACTCGCTTATCCAATGGATGGACGGAATGATAGGCGACGCGCGGAAGCTGGGGCACCACTTGGCAAGGCAAACGAATCAATGGGGGGGTGGGGCACACGAGGACGCGGGAATGGAAGGGGCGATGATAGTTGCGGGTAATGAAGGCGACGATACGGATTCGCGCGCTGGTTACAATTACGGAAGAGGGGGCGGTGACGAAGAGGAGAGTGATGTACCGTTGTCGCACTTCCTGCGGGAAAGGGCGGGCATGACGCTTAATGGAATGAAGCGGCCGCGAAAGGCGGAGCGGGATCCGGGGAAGGAGGGGCAAGGCGAGCATGATGGGGAGGAGGAGCAGCTAGCGTGGTTGCATCGGCAAGTGGTGCTGAAAGGCCTAGAGATGTTTAAACACGAAGGCCAGCAGCAGCAGCAGCAGCAGCCGCAGCAGCCACCGCAACTGCAGCAGCAGCAAGCTTCCCAGATGGGCTTCAAATGGCAAGAAGCAGTGGCCGACGCAGCGACAGGAGAGGCAGCTGAAGCTGCTGGTGCTGCTGGTGGCGGAATGGCAGGTCAGGAGGGCGCAGGTGCCGGGGCGGATGGAGCCTGGCAAGCAGGAGCAGCAGGGGCGGCAGGGGCAGCAGGGGGAGCAGGAGGAGCTGCTACTGGAGCCACACCAGGGACTGGGAAGAAAGGCAAGAAAGGTGGTGCAAAGGAGGGCGGGGCGAAAGGCGGAGGGGGAAAGGGTGCGGCTGGGCAGGAGAATAGTGGAGCAGGGCAGTCGAGTTCTGGCAATCATGCACTCATGAAGTTCCCCATTCCCTATTGCTCCTGCACGGGTCACCCTAGACAGGTGTGCTAGTCATACGCCCCCCCCCTTTTGAATCTATTGCCTGCCCCTTCTCCCTCTCGCGCTCTCCACACCACTCTGACTCCCTCCCGCTCAATCCCTTTTCCAGTTTTCCTGCCTTTGAACCTACGTTGCTAAATATGAGTACCGAGTATAATACGTTAGCGTATTATACGCTTGGTATATATGCGGTACGCCAAGGCTGGCGTACTGCTAATACGCAAAAATACGCTGGCGGGCAGCTAAAACTTTTTTTCCCGGGCAGGTATAAAAAAACCTGTTTCAGGGGGGGGTTCAGGCCGACAACAACACATGTCAATATTTTATTTCATAAATATCCAGAAATACATAGTTCATCCACATAATCCCCACCCTCTAGCGAGCTTCCCCACAGCCTATTTCTTTGCGGGGCTTTTCCACCACCACCCCTTCCCCATACTCATCCGCCAGCACTGCATCATCTCCTTCCCCCCCCAACAGGTCATCCTCCTCCTCCTCGTCCATGTTGTAGCCGCGGGGAATAGGGGCATCCGGGATGTTCCCGGGCACATCCGTGCTGGCCCCATCCTTGTTGTACCAATTGCGCACAACGTTCCAGTTGTGCGCAATGTAAACCAGGTCCGCACACTTGGCGGACCCGAGGCGGTTGCGGCGGGCGGTGTGGACGCCTTCCCACTGCGCCCAACCACGTTCGCATGAAGAAGCCGAGACGGGCTGAGTGAGAATCCGGCATGCGAGGGTGGCAAGCTCAGGGTACTCGGTGCTGTGCCACGACCACCATTGCACCATGCTCATCTCCCCTTTCTTCACTGCCTCCCTTGCAGCTATGGCGCTCAGCTTGCCAAAACTGCCCTCCAAGTTGATGTAGGCCAGCAATGCCTCCTGCAGCACAAGGGAGGCGCGGTGAGGGGCACCATCCTTGCCGCGCCTGAAGGAGACGTGGTCATAGTGGCGCTCGATGTAGTCCTTGAACACCCTCGTGCACTCCACATCGTTCCTGAAAATTCCCTCCTCCTGGTTGGCCGGATTCAGGATCCGGCAACCACATGCATGGGGCAGGCAAGGGAGTTGTCTCACCTGTCCTTCACAATCTTGGTGATGTCTGCCCTCTCTGTCCGAGTCAAGAAGTCGCCTGAAGCGTCGAGCTTGTCATTGATGTCCTCGGTAAGCTGTAGCATAATGTTATACAGCTTACCCATCATGCCGTTCGCGGAAGAGTCCGTGGCCCGCATGGCCTTGAATGGCACCGCCATGAGAGAGGAAAAGAACTCCGCCACCCCCCCCCACTCCTCATCCATCACAGCAGCCCTGAATTTCTCGGCTGCAGTCTTCCTATCCTTGTCCCCCGCTGCCCACACCTTCCACTCGTCGCTGAACACCATCGCCGCCAGCCCACTCCTCACCTCACATAGCTGGGCCATGGCTATGTATTGTGTCCCGAACCTGGTTCCCGCAGGCTTGAGCACCTGCTTCCCCCCCACTTTCTTCATATAGGCACGGGTGAAGTGGTGGTTGCGCACGAAGGTAATCATCTCCCCTCCTTTCTCCACAAGCCCCTTCGCCCATCCCATTTTGCCCACATCTTCCATTAATAGGTCCAGGACATGCGTGGCACATGGCACATGCTCAATGTGCGGCCATGTGCCCGCAATCTTCCGCGCTGCCGATGCATAGTTGCTGCCGCCATCGGTGCAGACCGCCACCACATTCTCCGGCCCCACCTTATCAATGACGGGGCGGAGAAGGCTGGCGATGTACCCCCCCGTCTTCGACTCCATGTTGCAGTCCACGGCCTGCTCGAAAACTGCGCCTGAGACGTTGACAAGGAGTATGTTGGCCTGCGGGCGGCCACAACGGTCGGTCATCATGTCCGACGACACGGTGACACCGTCCCGCTTCCAGCTCGCGGCAACGGGGGTGAGCGCTGCTTCCATTTTCTGCCGCACTTTCTTCAAGCCCGCCCCTCCAACGTAGCCCTTCTTGGGGGGAACATACCCCGGTCCCGCGCGCGCAAAGCACTGGACCGCGTAGCGGAAGACCGGATCATCCACGATGCGCTCTTGAAGCTTCAGCGCCGAGATCATTAGGCAAAGCGCGTTATCCGCGTCCTCCTTGGCGCACGTTGCCTCGTCGCCGAAGAATTCTGTTATCTTCCCCTTCTTCTCTGCACAAGCAGTGACCGCACCCAGCACGGAGTCGAGTGCTGCAGCAGCCGCCCCTCGTTTCATGCTCTTGTTTTCCTCCTTGTTTTCGTATATGGCACGCACTTCTTCACGGACTTTCGGGGACACGTCCTTGCAAAGCCTGACAGGGCGTCCATCTTGCCTTTTCCATTTGGCGAGGTGAACTGCGCAGCGAGTGGCTCCGCCCTCAAACTTGAAGCCACAAAACTTACAAAGCTTGGGATTGCCTTTGGTGTGGGGGGGAATAAGAAAATGATTCAGAATGGGGTTCGAAAGGCCAGCCTCAACAGGCTGCGTGTTGATCGCACTACTAGACGCGTGACCAGAAGCTACATTGCTCGTCGCGCTAGGAGGGGTGGAGTTCGACGCCATGGGGCGCGACTAAGGAACGGTAAACTGCTTGAGGAAAACGGGAGATAAGAGCTCGGGAATGAAATTGAGGAGGAGAGAAACGAATGAAGGATAGGAAGGCGTCAACGAGTAAATGCTCACATGACGTGCTGGACATTTGAGAGGGGTGGTTGGATATGAGAGGTTTGGTGGGGTGGTGTGTGGTTGGGGTGGTGGGAGGTTTGGATTCTGAAATTTGAATTTCAGACGTGGGTTGGGTGATGTGCTTGGTCGCGTAACCAGTCGCGAAGCCCTAATAACCGTCGCAATTTTTTTTCAATTTCGATTTTTTTTTTCTTCGGGCTACCCGCGCGTTTTTTCACGAATTTGAAGCGTATTAGCGTATCACGTACGTACGCAATCGTATATACGTGGTACGCCACCCTACCCAGAGCGTATTTGGCAATGTAGCTTTGAACATCCTCCGTCTTCTCACTTCAACTTTGCCTCCTTCATCCCAACCTTCCCTTTCCGTCACTTCCCTTTCTTTTCAATCCTCCCTATCCACTCCACTACCCACACCCCCACCCACTCAACCGTTCCACCCTTTCCCTCCCCTCGCCTCCCCGTCCTCTCACCCACGTTGTTTGCAGGTGCACCGCAACGGCCACTGGGGCTGGCAATCCGCCTGCTGCACCAACTCCCTCTCGCAGTACCCCCTTCCTCCGCACCCCACGCGCCGCCACAACCGCATGTGCGGCCGCCGCATGTCAGCCTCTGCGTTCCTCAAACTGGCTCAGAGGCTAGAAGGAGAGGGCATGGATGTGCGTGCTGTGCCCATAGATCTTGGCCCGTATTGGGGCAAGCACGGGTATAACCAGCCGATTGCAGTCGCCACGCACACAAATTTCAACGCTCTTGGTTCTGACACTGGCGTTGGTGGCGTCGGTGCTGGCGGTTCGGCTGATGTGGCGGTGGATGCTGACGATGGTGTTGGTGCTGATGCTGGAGCGGTTGGGGTTGGTGCTGAGGGGAATGACTGCGGTTTTGCGGCTGGTTTGTCGGGCGGAAGTGGCAGTGGGAATGGGGAGCATGATGAGGTTCGAGATTGCGACTCAACTGATGTGCTTTGAGTTTTCCTTTTGATATTGGTCAAGCCACTATCCTCCACATGCATCAGCTAATCTTTCTCACGTCCCTCTTTCCCTTCAGCAAGCTCTCCTGCGTTTTATTAGTTCGCTTGCCGCAATGCCTTTTATAATGTCTTGTCTCCCTACCTAGTAGCCTCTAATATAACCATTATAAACAATCAAGCAGCGTTTGTTGTAATGTGTTTGACATGTAAATAAGGTATAGAACACTTTGCTGTCACACTGTTACCGCTGGGATGACAGTCATCAGCGGATACAGTAGCCACATCTGGGCCCTGATCGTTAGCCTTCTTCGCGTTGGCACACACGTGTGGGTCTGTGGGTACTTCCCCTCGCCTCCTCTATTGCGTGTGCGAAGTATTTCGACGTAGTTTGGACGCAGTTTCGACGTCGAGTGACGTCGAGCCTCTGACGTCGATCGACGTCGAATGGCACACTTTGAACACATTGCCGGCGACGAACTGTCCGCTCAGGACAAATGCCGGCCTTGGTAGTAACAATTGAATTGAGACTGTCGAAGAATTGAATTGGGACCAAAACCTGAAATCGCAAATGTTTTTTTGAGAGCGTCTACTGGATGCGAACATCTTATCACGAAATGAAAATGTTCGCAATGTTCTAGATTACAGTTCATGCCAATCTGTGAATTTGTCTAACGTGGTCTGGCAAACACTATAAAGATTCGCTCAAGTTTTCTTTGGTTGACCGTTTCTGTGTCCATCATCATTGCACATTTCCGTACAAATAGCCATGCTGGCGTCAGCAATTTTTGAAGCGTACTTTGAACACAGAAATGGCACCCCTCAGCTCACCTACCTTGCCCAACAACCTCGACGTAGCTCGACGTTGAGCTACATGCAGCACTTTGCACACGCCATAAGTTTCCTAGCTCCGAGGGGTGATCGACACGCCCTCGGAACTCCGCGTGGGGAAGTTACGTGGGTCGTGAGCGCGATCTCGTTCAAAACACTGATGCGTTCTGCCCATACTGCCCCACTCGTCACCAAGAAAAATTATTCTCACGAAGGGGTAACTGGGCCACAAAAAGACACCAATAGGAAGATTTGAGGGTGTTTGAGGAGGTTAACGGTGGCAAAAAGAAAACAGAATATGCCATCGTTAACAAAACCTTACCCCGAGTAGGCGAGGCTTGCTCTCCCAAAATGTTGGAGTTAGCGGAGTCCCTCCGTGGAGCCAGGATTGCCCGTGAAGGAAGTAAAGTAAGTAAATTTATAGGGGAAACCCCTTTTGGTATGACCCCGGCTGTCGGTCGTAACCCGCCTCCCCATGTGTTTACACGCCTCGCTGGGTAACGAGGTTGTTCTATCCACTCCCAGATGAGCACCTGTGTAGTCCCTTTTAGTGGGGACTGGCTGTTAACTCCGCAGGGGGGATTTGATCCCGGGACCGCATCTTTCGGAAGTGAACCAGCTAACTAGCTGGGCCACTTCAGGATTAGGATTGCCCGTGAAGGAACCTTCCTAAATGGCCACTTCGAGTCCCACTCCGAGAAGAGGCACCGGGCGATCGTTTGCCCATTCTGAATTACCTGGAGTAAGCCACATCGGTGTGATTGTATCCGTAACACGTGCGAGCGGGAGTCAGTGAGCTCCCTCGAAGCTCACTCACTCCGCTTAGGGGGTGCTACCGATCAGGGTCCTGGTGTGGGTGGTCAGGTGTGCACGTGCCACCATTCGCTTTGCTTCGCCCGTGCCGTCGATTTGGCGGCAATGCGGCATCTCCACCACCATCCCACCAACTCGGAGCGAGGCGAATCAAACGTGCAGGAACGAGACGAGACAGACTCGAGGTCGAGCCGAGCTTGAGAGGGGAGTGTAAGGAATTTCGCTAATTCCTTACTAAGGCATCTCTTACGCGTACAATTCCAACTTTCGGAATTCAGGTTCGGTCCGTCGACCTCGCCTCCCGAATGTCTCCCGCGTCGCCTTCGGGTTTCCCAACCCCAAACCTACACCCAACCTTCGCGCGACTCCGCGACCTCGGCCTAGCTAGCTGTGCTATATAATGCCTAGGCCTCGTTGTTTGCTCAGTAGTTGTAATCACTTCCGCGATATTGCATTCTGCGCACTCTTCTTTCATACAACTCATAACACTTGGTATCAGAGCTACTTTCCTAGGTTACCCTCCACTTTCCGGGGTGGTTTTTAGTGCACGGGTGCGATAGGTTTGGTGGGCTGCAAAGCGGTCAGCTGAGAGATAGATACGATTATCTCGCTCCGACTAATAGCGTTTGCGCCTTCATCAAAACCATAAAAATCGCTGTTGACCCGCTGCCCGCTAGGATGAGTCTCCGAAATATGACGCAAGCAGATTTTGACGTGTTCTTGCAGGACTTTCAGGCGATGCAATCCGACATGCAGACCATGTCTGGCGATTTGGATCGCCTGAGGGTGGAAAACGCCGAGCTACGCCAGACGAGAGGTGAAGCGCGTCAGGAGTCGCCCGCCGTGGATGAAGCAAGTAGCAGCTTCGCGCCTAACGACGAGGTCCTTAGCGAGCTACAGAACTCGCTGGACGCTGAAGATGAGTGCACGGCACGGATGCAACAAGCACAAGGGACGCAGGAACAATAGTCACAGCCGCAGCAACAGACACGAGCGGCGCCGAGGCAACAGTCGCAGACTACGCCACGTTAGGCAACAGCGACAACCCCGGTGATGGCTTCAGCGGCGCCCCCGATGTGAAGCAAGGAAAACAGGAATGTGATGACTAAGTCAGAGTTGGGTACAAATACAACCCTAGAAAGCTGTACCCCATATGTGCTACCCCACTATAGCCTACAAACATGCATCAGTTATAATAATCCGACACACCCCCATAGGCAAAGTGGGGGAGAACAAGGGGTCACAAGACCAGTCAAGCAAAGCAAAGCAAAGCAAGCTCAGGGTGGATCACAACGTCACCACACAGTCCGAGCACAAGAGCAGGGCCAGAGGCCAGTTCACATGCAGGAGTACAGACATATATATAAAACTAGACAAGCAAGAGCAGGTATATATATATGTCACAGTACAAGTGAAGTCAAGAGGAGAGCAAGTGAGGCAAGACAGGCACAAGACCCAGCTGGGTGCAAAAGCGCTGATGGTCACAAGGCGCAAGTGCCTTGGTGAACACATCAGCAGTGTTGGCCTTAGAGGCCACGTACGCAAGTCGCAACTGACCACGCTGCTGCAGCTCACGAGCAAGGAAGTAGCGGAGAGCAATGTGCTTCGTTCTGTGCTCCAGGCGCTGCTCTCGACACAAGGCCAGCATGGCCTTGTTGTCTACGTACAGCACCGGAGGAGAACGAGGCGGCTCTCCAAGGTCAGTCAGCAGGTAGGTGAGCCAGCGAAGCTCCTGTGCAGCCATGGCCCCGGCGTAGATCTCAGCCTCACAACTGGAGCCGAGAACCGAAGACGAGCGAGTAGACCGCCACGAGACAGAGCCGGAACCAAGGCTGAAGGTGTAACCCTGTGACGACCGCTGCGTAGCCTGGTCGTCAGCCCAAGAAGCGTCCGCGTGGCCGGTAAGGACCACTGGACTCTGCCCTCCAAGCACTAGCCCCATGCCCAACGTACTGCACAGGTAGCGCAACACCCTCTTCGCTGCAGCCATGTGCTCCGGGCTGTGTCTCCCAGGAGCAACATAGCGTGCAAGAATGCTCAGAGGGTATGCAAGGTCAGGTCGTGTGCAGGTCATCAGGTACATGAGGCAGCCAACAAGCTCTGCATACGGACCACTCGACTCTACGGACTCATCCGAAGGCAGAGCTGAGAGTGAGTGGCGAGTAGGCAGAGGAGTGGCCTGAGGCGAGGAGTACGTGAAGCCGAAGCGCTGAAGGACCTGCTGCACCATGTGTGACTGAGTCAAGGTAATGGTGCGGCGTGCTCTGTCCCGAGTGATCTGCAAGCCAAGGTAGCTGCGCAGTTCACCCAGGTCTGTGCACGTGTGTCTCTTCAGCAGCTCGGACTTCACATAGGCGAGTCCAGCAGTGTCCGCTGTGGCAAAGACCAAGTCGTCGACGTACACGAGGATGTAAAACGGCGGCAGGGAAGTGTTAGTGCGAAGAAACAGCGACGGGTCAGCAGTAGAAGGAGCAAACCCAAGAGCCGCAAGCGTAGTCCTCAGTGTGTCGTGCCACTCACGCGGTGCCTGGCGGAGACCGTAGACTGGCCGTCGGAGGCTCCACTGGGTGCCAGGAGGGAAAGTCCCAGTGAAGCCAGGTGGACGGCGAAGCCAGATCTCCTCGTGCAGGCTACCCTGCAAGAACGCAGTGCTGAAGTCGAGAGAGTGAAGCTCGTAGTCGCGCTGAGCGGCTATGTGCAGCAGC